CGTGCTGTCAAACCTACACTAGCAAGGAGATCGGGCTGAAACTATAGCTACAAGCTATCCAAGGATGGTACTATAGAATGTCACCTCAAGGTAGGCCTAGTGGCGTCATCTCTTGGTTAGGCCGGAAACTTATCAATCCACCCTCGTATACTCCCTAAGAATCCATGTAAAAATTGAATTAAGTGTAATGGCTTTGATAAATATTGTAATGTTATCTCATTTATTATTTTGTTTACTACAGGTTAGGGTGAAAATTGAAGGAGATAACGAACCTCAGCCGACCATTCCTCGCGAAGAAGGACAAGTGCCCTTTGTTTTTGTAGGTACCGTCGAAAACATATCCAATGCCAAAGTTCTATTAGAATACCATCTAGCACACCTCAAGGTATGCAACTTAATTTCATTCTTGTTTTATTTAACACGATTACTTTACATTATTCGTATATATGTCATATAAATAAATGTTGTTTATATCCTGATTTGAAGACAAATTCATTGTAATTTAAACATTTTAATTAATTTAGGAAGTAGAGCAGCTTCGCCAGGAGAAATTGGAAATCGACCAGCAGCTACGTAGTATACACGGCTCGACGATGGGTTCTATGCAGAGTTTGCCAATGTCACGTCGAAATGATCGCGGCTACAACTCGGACATGGACAGTGGCAGCAGAGGACGTGGCGGTTCGATGAGAGGCCGTGGTGGACGTGGCCGAGGTGGCGGAGGTCCAAACAGGAACAACGATGGCCGCTACAACGCTGGTAGTAGTACCTTCTCAGATTACATTAATAACGTGGACAAAAGGAAAGGGCTGGGGAACGACAGGGGTCGGGGGCCTACTAGTAACGGACGTCCGCCGCGGGGCGGACCGGGCGGCGATCGTAACCCGCGGGACGGTGGCCGACCGGGTCGGGGCAGACTGTCGGTGGACTCGGCCGCAGGCGGCGACAGAGACCGGAAATGATCCGTCGACGGTCGTAGTCGTTCTCGCAGCGTCGCCGCCGCCGCAGGCCGCCGTCCCACTTTCTTATACTGTCGCGGAGAGAACAAATACAACCACCACCAACACTACCGTCACGATTGGCTCTGTGCACAACCGCCATCACCGCGCATTCTACATCTACCGCTACCGTTGTTGTTAACATCGGGCAAAAAAAGTAACTTTTGAGGTACTTGTTGTTGTTGTTATTATTACCATTATTAATATTGTTGAGTTGGCCCTCGTGCGTACTGATCAGTGCGAAACATAACACATTTCAGCTTTTAATGCATATACTTTTTATTCAGTTACTACAACAAATTAAAAAAGCGAGAAGGTGATTTAATACCAAAAGAACGTATTAAAGAAAAAAACAAAAGAACATACTTTACTTAATTCCAAATGAAATGCATAAATATGATATAGCTGGCAAACTAATAAAACAAAGAGTGCAGTTAAATTTTATAAGTATTACTATTTGATAAAATATACAATAATATAAAATTAGTTCTCCGGTATTATTTTTGTGCATTTCAGAATCTACTAAGTTAACATTTTTTTTTATCTTCACTCTTTAATAATAACGACGTATTATTAGTTTTTAGAAGCAATTATCGCATAACGTGCGCGGGCCAAAAAACAAAAAAGAAAATTAGTTTGAAGGGACAGGGGTGAGGGAAGCTGGGCAGCCGAGTAAGTCATTGTTATTATATTGTTTCGTTATATGTTGTGGCGGAGACGAGGAGGAGAAAAGGAAAAAAATTGTGGTGGTGGAGTTGTGCATATAGCCGATAATGCGCGCGGTTGGTTTTAAACCAATAATTACAAAATATTGTTTTGGCGGATTCTCTCTATCTCTCTCAATGGACAGACTTGGCAGATGACCCACACGTAATACTTTGTTCTTGATGCGAAAAAGTAATAAATTGTTGAAAAAAAAAATAAGGGAAAAATGCGGATAACGGCGCGACGCCTGGCGCGTGTGTTCGTGCGCACGTGCATGAAGCGTTTGTCGCGTTATCTCGGAATTAATACATTGGAATTTGCGAAAGAGAATACAAATATTTATATTATAAATATACTTACAAACAAGGAAGCGCCTGAATATCGGAGTAAAAAAAATAATGATGTAAATTACTAGTGTCGCTATAAAAGGACGAAGTTCATAATTCGGTTTTGATGTTTTCTCAGTTGCATACAGTTCTTAACTACTCTTGCTTGCACCGTTTTTGTGGGCCAGATACCTACAAAACCACTTGCGTTCATTAACGAACAAATTGCCTACTTTCTCAAAATTAACATTTACATAAACTACCGTTTAATATATAATTCTCGTTTAAATTATAAAACTGTTATTTATAAAAAAAATCTGATAATTTTATTTTTCCAATCTTCTATTTTATGTATTTGTTTGTGTTCGTTAGTCTAACGTTCGTGGTTTATTTAATAATAAACATGTAAGCTATCTGCCCCACTGGCGATTTGAAAAAAAAGTAATAATAAATAATAATAGTATAAAGTCGACGAGCTGAAACAGTTTAATGCATGAGCAAGTTACGTAATGTTATTTACTCTAGAAGCTGAGTCTTATTAAGGCTTGATCTATATAAAAAAAAATAGCGTTTTATGTTTACACCGTTTAGTTTTTGTTTTCTTTTTATTTCGTACTTCTTGTGGTGGAAGCAAGCTTCATGTCGTTTGTTGTACATACTACTACTTTACTGCTGCTACATTTTCTTACCTTTATTAATTATCGACAATGATTACGCAAAGGCCTAAGTGCATCTTTTCTTATTTAATGAATGACCCGCGTTCATTTTTCTGTTTTAATTGATTAATTGGTGAATGACATTTTGCTTTTTGACCCTATGTGTCCTTTTTTCTTCCCGCCCCACACGCCCCCTCGTTCCCCGCTTTTTGTTAATTTAATACCGATGGTAGAATCTGATAGTTAGTTTCATTTGTGCTTGTTATAACGTTTTTAAGCACTTGAATGTTTTCGTTTTTTAATTTTTGTATTCATTAAAAAAAGAACACGGTTTTCTATTGTATATTTTATTTTATTTGCGATTGGCTTTCGAATTTGTATTAAAATTACATTAATTATTTAGTTTGAGTTGTGCACTTGGGCCATTAATTTTTTTTATTTAATATTGTTTCGTTTCTTTTATAATAATACTGATGGGAACTATTTTAGTGCCCTGAATTTTTCGTTTTGACTTTTTTGTTCTTAATTAGAATTTGTTATTGCATTTGTTCGATTTTGACTTATCGTCTTAACTACTACTACTATTACCGTTAATGATGTAAACCCTAATTGATAATGACTGTAACTTGTAAGGATAGGTGCAGTTTTGTGTGAATGTTTCTTTCGAACAAGAAGGAGGGTCGTTCGCGTTAACAGAAAAGGGCAGCAAAAATAATCAATTGAACAGTTGAATATTTTTGAAAAGTCAGTATCTAACGTAACGTAATAAGACAAAATGTGTGTTATAAATATTTCACGGAAAGATATCGCGATGTGCTGTGCTGGGTTTATCCCACAGTTTCAGTTTATTCCTTACTCTGAGATGCGGACTGTATGAGTAATTATTCGTTTTTTTATCATGAAAATAATAGCAGAAAGAGTAGAACTGTTAATTTCCCAAAAAAGAAAAGACTGACATTATTTAATTGGTTCAAATTTTTTAGGGTCGTAACCTAATGTTATTAGGATTTAATAATTTAAGTTACAGTTAACAAACATACTAACGTGATTTATTGTTTTTCTTAATATATTTTTTGTGATTGATAGACACAAATAACAAATTAATTTATTTACATATTAAAATAATGCCCAGTTTTCTCGTGAACAATAAAACTAAAATGGGAATTCATAAACTGCGGTGATAACCCAGCATTAGTATTCATCAACTTAACAATCTGTGGATTTCTTGCAGCTGCACCCTCCAAAATAATAGACAATGTCGCTACAATTTAATATTTGACAAAGGGGAATGTCGTTTTTCTCAGCAATTGTCCGAATGCCTCGTTGTGTTTTTTGCAAATAAAAATATAAATCAGACAATAACTGTTGGGTGCGGTTAATGTAAAAGACAAAAGGGGACACTAGCGTATTGAGATACGGGCTGTCGCCGTTTTTGCTGAGAGAAATGACGTTTGAAGTTAGTAAACCCCATGAGGCTCACCTAACAGCTTGCCGAAAGGGTACTCAGTCTGCCATTGGCAATAAGAGCTTTCTGTGAGTTTGCTAACACAAACGAGGCACTAGCAACTGCCAAGGAACTCAAGACTGGCTCATACTCATGTCAAATCTTACTGTGAAAGACTTTTTTTAGAAATATAACTTGGTAACAAAACTTACTTGTGTTTTTATTTCACGCAGACTGATACCCTTGAAGTGGCTTACTAACTTTTGACTTTTTATATTTATCGGCGAATTCGTTCTCGTTACTGTTCCTTAGTCGCTAGTAGTTCTTTATTCTTAGTTTTTTATCCTCTTTACTAAATTACTAAAATGCCAAGTTTATTTGTGACATGCATGAGTTGATTGGTTGCTTGAAGGGTTTCAAGTCTGTCTGCCTTACTAAACCCATAACGTTATAACGTATCTGCTGTAAAAATAACATATTACTTTTATTGCAAGATTTGGGGTGGAGTTATAACATTAATACTAAATTATTCACAAGCTTCAACTCGAATTTTTGTTATAATTTGAAACGAAAGTATATAAACATTAGCCTTCTAAAACTTTATGTTCCGTATTCTAAATGATGAAAGAAGATATGCATATATTTTTAAATTTATTAATGGGACTTGTGCGCATGTGTACTTAAAATATTCGATTTATTTCATAGTAGGTAAGTACAATTTTTCAGTAAGCCCCAGCCACTTTTCGTTTAGTTTTTATTAACAAAAAAAAATATATGGCATTGCCCAAAATGTATTTATTTTTTCATTTTTATGACGTGTTAGGTTCAAGACAAAACACTCCTGACACCGTTGATGAACGCATAAGGGATTTGCCTCCGAGACAATACGGTCCTAGGGGCGGTAGAGGTGGCGGTGGCGGTCCCAGGCGTGATGGTAGAAGAGACGACAGACGCAGAACTACCGACGATGAAGAAACCGTACTCGACAGTCAAGATGTCTCCAGTGTAGACAGAGGTGAGTATCAATAACCAGGGTATCTTATAATAAGATTTTTATTTTAAAAGAAAATGCTGGTCTTTTTTTATAGTTTCATTTAGTTTCAGGCGAGTTATGTTTATGTTAAATTACTTAGTGCAACGTTAGATAACTGAAATTTGCGTTGGAATGCATGTTTATAGAATTGTTTTAAAAGTAGCGACGTTTACAATAGATTTTTCTTATTTCAATGTAAAAATTTATTTATTAATTACGTTTGGCGATACTCTAAAACAGTCCCATATTTTAGTTTTTAATTTTCACCAACTCCAGATTGTGATAATCAAGGAAGCGAATATAAGAAATGCATGTACTTATGAAATAATAGATGCAAAATATTTTTTGCCAATTATAATTAAATAATTAATTGGTTTCTAGTTGCATTTATTATTACACTCTGTTTTTTATTGCACTTTGTAATTGTGGTATAAGGGTGTGTGTGCGGTTGTTTCTTTTTTGTGGCATGAATTATTAAATTGGCAATGTAGGCTTGCATGTCGTTAAATGGTTGTGATTGCTGTAGAGTCAGTGTCCAGTGTGGAAGCTATAGGTTGGTCGGGCAGCAGATACCAGAAGAAGCGCAAGCGGAGGGCTAGGCAGCGCAGTCGCACCCCGGCCAACAGCAATGCCAACGAAGAAGCCGGTAAGTTTGACTCTTTTGCGTGAATGATAGTTATCAACGCTTCCAAGAGAACAAACAGGCCGTTTATACAATATGCCTGTGCGTGTGTTTTTATAAATGTGCCATGCAGGAAGAATGTTTCTTTTTTATTTTAACAAAAGCTTATTGTAACTAAAACTATGATTGCACAAGTTTTTTATATTGTATAGGGGACACTTCTGCTATCATTAATTTCGGAAAACCTTACCAACTGTTGGCTTTAAGGAACATTAATTTATTTTTTTGTTACTATTAATTCCAAAGATGTTTTTTTTAATCTAGCAAAACGAGCTGGTGCTTACCTTAGAAAAAATTATAATCTTTGGAATTAAAATTTTTTGTATATTTTTGCATGACGATTTAAACAATTATACATTGCATTTTAAAAAAGGCTGATGATTACGTTTACATTTTGTTGTGCAGGTGGCACCGGTGACCAGAACGTGACCGAGAACCCCGAAGTTCGTTCGACAGAAGGAGGCACCATCGTACAGAAAGAAGAACTTCCCAGGAACGGTGGTGGTGGCGGCCGTGCCAACAAGCCACCCCCATCGCGAAGAGTCGACTCGAACAAAGGTGCCGCTCCAAACGCCGCTACCAATAACGCTCTCGTCAACGGAACATCCGCATAAATACCAAGTCTGAAGAAGTGTTATTGTGATTTCGAGGACATGCACGAAAATATGGTTGTTAATTATTGTTGCGTTGTGTGTGTATTGATGATGACACTTGCCTGGATAGTAGTCTACGCCCTTCATGTACACGAGCTGGATGACCGAATGACCGTTGGGTTCTGTGAACCGAGAAAGTTCACTTATTAAGTGATATTTTTAGTGCGAAGCTTACTACATTACTACTACTACTATTAGCCCCGGTGGAGTAGGAATTGGCTAGGGAAAAGGTACCTACAAAAGATGGACTCCCAATAGTACGTATAAGACATTTTTTGCTTTAAATTCGAAATTGTTTTTGTTTTTTATTTTAAATATTTCGCATATTAGTTGATAGTATAATTGATATGATAATAATAATTTGGAAAGAACCCCCGTTTAGAAATCGTACCNTTGTTGCTCCTATTTAAATTTTCAGCAATTTGTCAAATAGTTATCTTCGAAATATTATATATAAATGAAATTATAGCAATTTCTTATGCTGAATGTATGATGTGTTGCATACCTATTTAGAAACAATTCCTTTAAATTTAATTTTTAACACAAAGAAAGTGATTAAACAAATTGTTCACAAAAGTGAATTTCTACCACTCAAAGCAATGGTGCTAACAGTTTCGAGCTCACAGTGACTTATAGGGGGGAAGAACTAGTGCTAGTTAATAATATGTTATTACACAATGTAATAACTTATTTATCTGAAATCGAATCTCATTTTCCAATAACTACTAAAATATTCAATTGCTTCACCGTCAGATACATTATTTATTAATTGACCAAATTATCATCTATCCAACGTATTAAAAAGTTGTTATAAAGAAATTAAACTGTGAATAGTTTGTTGTTATTTTTTGACCATTAACTCATGAAGTGGACAAAATAAAATACTAGCACCGCCAAAAAAGGTTTCAACTCTCAGTTGTTGATTTTTATTTATTCGGAAAGTAAATGAAAAAAGGTGTATTACTTGAAAACTGAAATGTTTTCAAACTTGAGATTACCTCGGCTTGATTTTAATTTATTGAAATGTGAGACAAAACCTTCAAAGAGAAATGAAAAAAGAAGTAGAAATTAATACTGCACCAGGAATGGAGCTTCGTTATTGATGTTTTGTTGGTATTTCTCTTTTCAGCAAAGGTAGGCCCTCTTATCATCGCGTTGGTAATTACGAGGTCGGGCGGGGGGCAGGCTCCACCAGGTGAGGTTTAACCGCAACTTAAACAGTGCGCATGCTCGTAGCTATCTATCTATATACATATATTTAATTACGTAATACGTATTGTATAATTCTTCGTCTACCTATATACTTTTTTTTGATATATATATTTATTTTTGATGTTCTGCCTCTGTGCCGGTGTCACCAGATGGCCCCCGGCCCGTTGCCTCTCCAGTCATTCCTGGCAGTATTAATTTGTGGCTCGTTGTCGTGTATATATGACATAAATATATACAGTTATTTTACAATAAAATGTTTGTATTAGGTATCATTTTTGTATGCATACCACAAACACACTCATTGCGGTTTGTCTCACTTCACTTATAACAAAAAAAAAGAACGGCATAGCACTATGTAGACTCTTGGTCCTGTTACATGGGTTACAAGGCATGTTATGTTTTATTTTGTGCTTTATTGTTTCTCTTTTTCGCTATCCGTATTTTATTTTCTGGGTAGTCTGTCTGTTTAACTGCCAGGAGATGAAAGTTGCATGCCTCTAGTTAATTTTTTTGAGGGTTTGTGGTGTAGTAATCGACGAATGACCTACGTGCATGAAATTGTAAATGTTGTAAAGGATGTACCTGTGCTAGTGTAATTTTTAAATAAATGTGGAACTTTGTCAGAGACGTTTACAGTTTTTAAATTGAAAATACCTTGGGGAACAAAAGGGTTTCTGTTTTAAAGTAACTGAATTATTTGTGTTAATTTTAGAGGTATTTGCGTATAAATTGAATTGAATTTTTTTTAGATATTCGGACGAATTCAGTGTGCGGGAGGATTTAATGGGCTTAGCGATAGGGGCCCATGGGGCGAACATACAACAAGCACGGAAGGTCGAGGGTATAACGAACATCGAGTTAGAAGAGAACTCATGTACCTTTAAAATCTACGGAGAGGTATTCTATAATTTTTTACAATTCTATATTATATTGTTTTGTGTTGTTACTTTTTTTTGTCTTGTAGAGTGATGAGGCTGTTAAGAAAGCACGTTCAATGTTAGAATATAGTGAAGAATCTCTGCAAGTGCCACGTACTTTAGTCGGTAAAGTTATAGGAAAAAATGGTAGGATTATTCAAGAAATAGTGGATAAAAGCGGAGTCGTAAGTTTTAAATATAAATTGCATTTTCGTGATCGGATTGTCAATTTTGGACTTTAACACATTAGAATAAGGCATTTAATTAATATAGATCTTAACGTACTTATTTATTAAAGATTTAGACTACCTAAGAAAAAAATTAAATTAGAAAGCCAACGACAGTTCTTAATTTAATTAAATCGAAGGCATGTTAATTTGAAATTTGTTGCTCCTATTTAAATTTTCAGCAATTTGTCAAATAGTTATCTTCGAAATATTATATATAAATGAAATTATAGCAATTTCTTATGCTGAATGTATGATGTGTTGCATACCTATTTAGAAACAATTCCTTTAAATTTAATTTTTCAAACAATTTTTAACACAAAGAAAGTGATTAAACAAATTGTTCACAAAAGTGAATTTCGAC